TCAAGCCGTTGATCCAGAGTACGGCGAAGAATTAGGCCTGTGAATGAATATGCAGATGAGTACGCTGAGGTAGCTGTAGGTATTCATTCTAGGTTGAGTCAAAAACATGCGGCTTATTTTATGTCATTATAATTATATATTGTGGAAGATGTGCTACTTTTTTGATTTCCTAGTCCCAGAAAGGCCAAGAAAGTAAGCTTTCCATTACGGGCTATTTCCTTAGAATTACGTTCCTCTCTAGATGCGTCCCCTCCAGACTGCCCAAATCCGAGGCCGTGGCCGTAGCCGTGCCACTGTCACCGCCGTCGTCCCCTCCCTCGGCCAATACTAAAGGATCCCACTCGTTCAGTATGTTTATAGCGCGTTTCGTATCGCAGTGCTCTAGGCCGAGAACTTTGATGCTGAGGTTGACGCATGAAGCTATTAGCATGACCGCTTGATCAGTATAGCCTAGATTATACCGCATATAAGCCAAATCATACATGGATGTCAGCGTGTGCTGATGCTTCGGGCCCAGAACTCTCTTCCTTACTTCCAAGACTTTCGTATATAATTTCTCTGCTTCCATCCACCGCCCCTGAACTATATGGCTTGCTGCCACATTTTTTGTACTGGCCAGAGTGTCGGGATGAGTCGACCCCATATTCTCTTTCTCGTCTCTAGGACTTGAGCGTTTATCTTCTCGGCTTCAAGCCAGTGATTTGAGCAAGTGTATATCCCGGATAAGCTTCCCATACTAGTTAATGTATGGGGTGTTTGGGGGCTAAAACCCTCGTTTGTTCGTTTATGACTTCCACTATTCGTTTCTCTCCTTCCTCTAGGCCTCCTTCATCTATGTATGTCATTGCAATAATAGCCATGCTGCTTAATGTATCCGGATGCGAGGGGCCGAGTGTGCTCTTCTTCATCTCTAGGACTTCATTATCTAGCAACTTCGCTTCCTCAATCCGACCTTGGTCCTCGTAACAACGGGCTAATTGTGACCAAGACACTTGGATGAGTACGGCCTAGAAGTTTCTTGTCACGGAACTAAACCCAAGAGAGGGCTGCACGGGCCCTAGCCTAGTCTATATAAACTAACCTGGCAGATTAACCTACTTAGCTAGAACCTCCCCCTTTGTGCAATAACAATAAGTCAACCTGGCATCACCAACAGTAGGGACTGTGACATTTCTCCTTTGTCTGTCTGAGTTGAGTCAAGAGCTGCACAGAATCTTCCTATCTTCTCGCCACGGTGGGCGCCCAGGGCCGACAAATAAGCCTCGCTCTAACGGACTCCTCGAGGTATATCCCAGCATATCCCCTGTAGCTCAAAAATGTTGGCATGTTTCCTTATCGTTAGATGGCGAAGCACTATAATCTCGTTGACTAGGGATCTGTATATAACTTCCTCGGCCTTATCAAGTTTGTCAGCGTCCGCAACACGCTTAAATGCAAAACTTGTCTCAGGAGTAATGGCGGCCTGGCTGATTTAACTCGATCCCCCTTTCCCAGCTAGTGGTCTCCTTGATTGCCATGTTATTTGTAAGAATGGGATCTGGAGGCTTTGCACCGTTGCTAAGAACGTTATAATGCTGCATAGGGCTGAAGTATCTGGTACAGTCGGGATAGGACTCGAAAAGAGGCGAGGTATATCGAACGTAGAGCTGTTCCTGAACGCAATGTTTTCGATTAACTCCTATGGCACGATTAGCATATCATCCACATAATACTAAGCACGCGACATAAAGGCGCCTCACTCAAGCTAGGTTATATAAGGTGCTACTTGGGGGGTCTATACCATCTAAGACATAAAGCCGAGTAGTCTAATTGGCTTATGACTAGTATTTTCATAGCGCTGCTATATAAGCAAAATGGAGGTTGAAGGTGGGGCCAATGGTGCCTGGAAAAAAATACCCCATGAGTTCTTTTAGGGGCCAGCAAGCAGCAGTACGATTCGGTCAAACGCGTCCGAACAGCTTACTGGCTCGCTTACGTCTCGCGACCGGATAGACTCTCTAGTCCTCCAATTGCGGCGTATCACCAGCCAAGCAGTATCTAATTATAAGTATTAGTCTAATAACATATTACACACTGGGCACGCTGCAACGACTTGTTCAAGTAAACTCAACGCGGCGCTAAACCTTAAAGTGATGAGGGTTTAAATCTTAAATTGTTGGTAGCTTTGAATTATATTAGTAGTCGACCGAGTGAGGAACATTTAGGAGGCACTAGCATGGTCACCAACTCTGTCACTTTTTCTGTCATAGTGTTAGATAAGATATTATAGAAGTATAATCTCCATATCGGCATTCTTTTCTAACCTATCTATACCCTACTACAGTTATGCAAGGTTTCGCAAATCTACGGGGACTTTTGCCAGTTCTAGATCACTTTTCTAATGGAGAAGTATATTGAGCATTTAGCACATATTAATAAATAGCCACTGACAGCTACCGAAAACGATAGGTACTTATCACCTCGATTTTCGAGTAATCAGCAAAAACAGCAATACGGCGCCATTTGTTTACATTCCTACACCCAACGGTAGCCAAGCCGTATTTCGTGCCCTTTTGCCAACACACGGTTCGATAGAAAAGCTGAGTCATTAACCAACAACGATTTTGCTTAAGTTTAACAAGGTGCTGCGAATGAAGGGGACTTGGCCCCTAGCACTATTATTAAATGACCATCACACTTAGGAGACTAGTTATTATGATAGCAGGCGATTGGTTGATGTTTCTTGTTCTGTAGGGCACTAAGAACTGGTTGTATTAGAGGTTGGGAGGGATCTAAGACTCGGACTATCTAGGACTTTTATAGTTGTTTGTGTATTGACCCCACTTCTTAACTAGCCACTAAACACTAATCTGTTACGGCGTTAATTAAGGACTTTGGTAGAGTGTGTGGACCGAAGGCGTTCCACGACCCAAAGTCGAGTCTACCGACGAAACGGTGATGCTATCCATATACCGAAGTATGTATGCTAATGGCTACGTATGACTAAGCTACAGCTATACGGCTATATGTAAGGTGGTGGCACCGTAACATTTGCCCCTCCTATGAAAGACGAACGCCCACGTTCGTCCGTTGTCCCATCCTATATCGCCTATTCTTTGTCTATTGAAAGAAACTTATTGTATGTGTGATGCTAGTGATGCCGACCGTCCGCATTGTTTGTAGTCTGAATTATCTATTGTTCTGTCTAAGTGTGAAAGGTTGAAATTATTGCTAAAAACTGAGTTGGTAGGTACTTATTTTACGTTTAATATTTGTATGAGTACCGCTTAATTTTAGACCAACTTGGTGTTAATATTAGTTTAATCCTGGTTTATTTTAGACTAACATAGTATTGGTAGTGTGGGGGTGGTTTATGCTCCTACCTCTTATCTTTGCTTAGCTAGACTATTGCTATAACTTATTCTACTACTGATATAACCCTAATATCCCCTTTAGAACCTAAAATTTGGTGAGAGCCTGCACGATTCCATAGCGTTTTGGCTAGCAGGCCAGACAGGGTCCAACTGATATAATTGCTTTAGTTTCTTTCGGACTTCTCGAGACCCCAATTGGAGTGGGTCGGTCAATAGACCATACACATACACCTATAAGGGATCGAAGTCAGTGTTGATCAAGCAATGATTGGAAACGATAATTCTTTCGGTGACGTTTTCTGTCCATTTTTGTAGGACTTGCCGTCCTTCCTTATGTTGTGTGCTCAATCGGACCCTATAATACTGGGACTAATCGTTGTTAGCATTGTTGTCTAGGTATAAGTCCTAGATGTTGGCTCGTAAGAAGAAAACTCTGGTGTATCTTCTCTAAAACCTAGCTTTTCTATTCTTCAGCTTGGTATTAGTCATGAAATGTAGGGTAAATCCATCTTTTTCTGGCCCCTCAATCATCAGCGCCTCAGCAAATCCCCGTTTTTCGCAAAGCGCGAAGAAATTGCGATCGGGTCTGCTATCATGATTGTGATGGAATGCTATGGTGTTAACTCTGGGCCAGAACCTAACAGTAGCACTAAATACTGAGTCGGTTGCACCAACTTCCAACCCTGTGGTGGTCGCACAACATGGCGGACGAGTCTAGAACAACGGGAGCTGCCCGACAAGAGCTTCCGTGGCGTACAGACTCCGACCGAGTATTTCACCAGGAGCATTTCCCACGAAGGTATGGTTCCGGGACCCGGTCAAGATGGTCCAAGTTGGTCAGGTAGCCCGATTGCTTCACCGTCATGTCGGCCGGCACAGGCCTATTATTGCCACAGCATTAGCAGGTAGATTTAAGAGGGAATTTGTTGCTATGAGACTCTAAAGCCGATTCTAGTTCTTAAAGTATTAGGCAGAATTGCGATAGAACCGCCAACAACGAACCCTCCACGTGGCGCAAAGAGGCGGCCTCGGATTTGAGACTTATACCAAGCCGCACCCCTTGCAATATTGTTATGGCCCACCGCTTCGTCAGTGCCTACTTCAATCTTATTTTAGCTCTTTAGCTTTCTTGTTGTACTGTTAGGAGGAAGATAAGCTTGAGGAAGCAGCTATCCGTTCCACGCGTGTTGTGCTGCCGACTTTTCTATACTCCTACTTGCAGTATCGAAAGATTTACCCACGGGCATCTCCGCACCGCAGGTGGGGTTCTGTAGGTGTTGTGCACAAACGTAATGGCTATGCCGTTCACCTATGAGAATACCAACGCCAAGGTCTAGTGACCGGAAACGTTTCATTTAATCGTATTACGATATTAGGAAGGCCGTAATAGGAGGGGGGGTTAATGCGCTGTTTTACATTTATGATCTAGTCACGGCAGTGACATTCTATCAGAGAACTGTATTTTTTGGAAGACCCAAATTCAATACTCCACTCGCGCCTTTTTAAGCTACAACCTTCTCCTAATATTTTGTACGCCAGGCCACACTGCTAGTACTTGTTGTTAATAATACTCAAACTTATCACCACCTGCACTCTACTTAACAGCTAAGATGATTATTAAAAATGTTATCCGAGGATCGAAAAAATTGCACAGAGCGAGGTTCGAACTCGCGCGGGTTTCCCCAACAAGGTAGAATACAATCTTAAACTTGTCGCCTTAGACCTCTCGGCCATCTGTGCACAGAGATCTCGGAGAGATCTTTTACTTGGTAGGGACGCTTGAAGAAAAAAGGGGTTATATCTTACCACTCAGTAAACTTTTTAACCTATCTTAGGATGTGATGTATTTATGCATTACAGGCGGGGCTAAGCTCATTTTGTACCTATATAGTCCATTCTAGAAAGATCTATATCTACAACCTACTGTACTATTGCTAAAATTACACACTATGTCACATTTGATGTTCTTTACAGCTTCTAGTTGGGGTACTATATATTGATTGTAAGATTAGGCAGGGAAGGAAGTAAACCGTACCATGCCAATATTGAACGGACCGCTCGGCAACAACATCTCCGGTAGGCGGCCCACAACCCAGACTCTACCCTCCTTGTCACCTTCTGAGCAACTGGCGCGTGTACCAAGAGATGTACGAAGTGATATACCAGGTGATATATTGAACCACCCACCATACATATCGTAACCCATATCCGAACTCCGTCGGAGTAATCCACCAAGTATAGCGCCTTTTGAATCTCCTGGCTTCTCTCCAAGTCCGCAGAGCCCGAGCGTGTCGAGAGTAGGGTTCTAACAGAGTACCGAACCCACAGACTAGTAATAAACAGAAAAAGCTTCCCAAAACTATGTCTATCACGGCCAAAATGGAAGATTTATGAGCGCCGTCGGGAAATCGTTCGGGGATCGCTCGATGTGCGTCAAACAAAGCTACTGCTGTCATCTCGGCCGTGATGAAATAGAGGACTACTTCCGCGATGCGAACATAGCGTGGTGTGCTACGGGACGATGTGTCTGTCGGATGGTTCTTTGAAGATGTTAGAAGAACTGAGGGACGCAGTGTGACGCTAATATCGTATCAAACCGTAGCGAGGGAACATGCTCACTCCGAGATCGTTATTTAACGAAGCCTCCGCGTTGAGGAGGGGGTCGGCCATCCTTCGAATTTTACTAATGTCTATGAATTTACCGAGACTTTATTAGTGAAATGTGCCCTGGTCATTCGGGTGCGTCGACGACCTTTTATGTCCCGCTTTGGGTATGCTAACTAACAATCTCGCTGCTATGGAGTGAACTTTCTGGTTTTTAATCCGACCTTTTGCCAGTTGCTTCTATAACACCCTAGCCTCGAGGGTCTCCTAGAAATACGGGAAATTCAGCGCCATGACGCGTATACGGCACCTCTGGCTTCCCGCATAACTTTATTTTCAGTTGCCCCATGCACCTTTAGGTATCCTTAATGCATTCTCTGTTATTGAATCGCCACAAATCCCAGTTGCTGCCTTCGCGACCACTTTTTGCCCTACCATCTTGCGATCACTTATCGGGGTCAATGACGGTCTCGGGAAGCAATACTCTATTTCTAACTCTCCCTGGCAATATCTCCACTCTCAATAGCCCATTAGAAATCAAAGGTTATATTTACCAGCGTATCCCATATTAACATTAAACTATTATGTGAAGCTTAGTTCTGGTAAAATTCGACGGCCCGAGTTTTCCCCGTGAGCCCTCGAAAGGCCGCGAGGGAGAAAAGAGCCTCTCGAATAATTCCGCTATAGACTTCCATATAGCTTACCTTAATTGTTGATAGGGGCGAACATGCAGAGAATTCTGCTATGCACTAAGGAAAATCATGATAAGATAAAGGATAGTTTCCGGCGCATAGGATGGTTTGCAAATTAAACACGATTGTCTTAAGTTGAAAAATCTAAAATAAAATTCTTTTACTTGTGATACTCATCACCACAAGCAGGGAGAAACGACCCCGGGCTAAGCCGAGGCGGCTAACTCATCCTGCATTTTCTGTATAGCTTTATTACGATGTTCCGATATATTAATGTCTCAGATGAAGTCCTACCTTGACAGCAGGTTTCCTTATTCTTTTATTTTAATTATAGTCTGTTTTTTACTAATTAACATGGTCCCTGTACCCCAACTTGATTCAATAATGCGTTGTGTGCGATGGCGGCGAACCTGGTCATAAGCCCTTAGTGCCGCCTGAGCTTGAATAGGCGTTCTTGTACGCCCTAGCAAGGTAGAAAGAATGAGGCTATCTTCGATGGACATACCGCCACCGGAGCCTTGCTAAGGCGTTGTAGCATGCGCAGCATTACCTATTATGCAAAGAGGTCCGAAGACATAGGTGCGGGCCGGCGGATGTTCCCAAAGGTAGAATGCGGTCCGTTCGGGTTCATGGCAGAGTAACTATTAATCCGTTAGCATGAATATACAATGTAGGATTTGTAGGCCTCTGTAGTACCTCATCAACGGCTAGCCTGAGATGCATTGGCCAATCTGCATAATGTTTCTTTATTTCATCTGCGCTAACCGTTCGTTGCCAGCGATCCGATGCCTCGGCTACAGGGTCACTTGAAGCAATTGTGAACTGTACCAGTTCGCCGTCGCTGAGTACGTTGTGCAAAATATAGCTTCCATTTCCAACCCATGAGTACTCGCGAGCATCTCCGGAGTCCAAGAGCCCTTGTCCGATACTAGCTCGAGCTGTCGCGTAGGGCTGAAGGCTCATGATAGCCCACAGGCCTGTATTCCTAGGGCGCGCCGCGGGATTGTCTTCGCCAAGTATAAGCCTCCAGACGGTACTATGGATACCGTCGGCCCCAACAAGGATATCGCATTCGTGGGTATCCCCATCGGTGAAGTGAAGCGTTATGGAATCTGTGTTTCGATCAACCGAACTGAGCTTTTTGGAAGCGTGGAAGCGCTCGTTTGAAACTTCAGCTAGTAGCTCCTGCAGGTACGCAGCGCGATGGACAATACTCGTAAGACGTTTCCCTGCCTTGATATCGTCGATCTCATCAATCACTTCGCCTTGTCCCTCTCGCTGAGCTATCACAAAACGCACACCTCGCATAGGAACAGCTCCGGCGCGCTTCAGAAGCTGAGGGGCGGATGGGCCAATGAGATCAAGCGCGGCTTGTGCATTTCGAGTGAGTCCTATGGCCAGGCCGGCTTCCTTGAAGGAGGGAGCGGACTCAAAGATGTGGACGTCGAGATGAAGATACTGAAGGAGAGCATTCGTCAAGGAGGCGCCGGCAAGACCACTTCCTGAGATGGCAATGCGCAGGGGACGAGACATTGTGCTCACGTTTGATTGGACGTTTGTCAGTCGCATTATTCAATGCTGGAGAGACTTCAGGTCAAAGGCTTTACGGATTAGCGCTGTTTTATGTCGAATGCGTTCACAATAAGTCCTCGCCACATATCATATAAGACACAGCGTCTAAAATTAGGCGCCAAACCATTTTAGTCGGCCACTCAACCTACAGCACTTGATGGGCAACTAGGAATTACTAGTATGAAAGCATCGATCGTACGCGATTCGTCGACGTCACATCGTTGTTAAGAAGGACATGAAAACGAGCATATAACGAAGGCTATGTAAGTCGGGGCACGACAGGTACGCTAGCGGCCAACACCCAAGTAACGAGCCTAACTAGACTTTCCACCTCTTCCGGCTAGACCTCGTTCCCTACTACTTGGCGATTTTTGAGAGGTAGTTACATGGTAGGGGCGAATCTACATAGGCGCAGGTGGTATAAACTTAGATTGACCCGAACAGTTTATATAACGTATATATATAATTTAAGTAGCTATTATGACATATTCAAATATGTTGCAACATTGTAACTATATGCTGTAGGTACCATGCAGCGAAATAATTAATCTTGAAGATAAAGGCGGTAGGAGATGAGGTCTAGCCGCGAGAGGTGGCAGGTCTAAGTGGGCTCCCCCAGTTCTGCCCCGGATCCCCGGTCGGGTTAGGTACCGGGTCGGCGGTATCCTTCAGTGTAATTCTTGGGGGGGGGGGATAGTCAACTATCTTCCATAGCTGCGGCTCTGTTGGCTTTTGCGAAGGTAATTGCGTGCTGATGTTGTATTTCAGCATGTACGATGCTAACAAGTGAGCGACGACTGGAAACAGCACATCGACGATGTACGACTGGCAGGATATTTTACTCGCAGTGGAAAGCGTATTACATCAGACAGGAAAGTAAATTTAAAGTCACAGCTTCGCCCTAAAGTCGCTGGGTTTGTATAATAATATACATCACGAAATAGCAAGAACCTGGAGGTGAGTAACCGATGAGGATGTTTACTAAGGTAACACCTAGCTGTGGAAGGGCTAACTTTCAAGCTTCCAATCTGGACTGTGTAGCAAGTACTATAGTTATTATGAAACATATAAAGCAGAATGATATCTCTTTCAATGCGTTTTTAAACAATTCTGTTTATAATTAAATACTGTATTCCATGTTGAAAAAGTAGAACTGTTACAAGAGTCTGATATGATACTTGCATAATATATAGTTAAGAAAAGTATGATCATAAAGGAATAGACTACGTTAAGTCCCACGCTTGGTCAAATCGGTCGGTTTAAGTGGACGGATCGTCGGCCTAGGCCCTAGGGGAGCTACCCATGTACTGCCCTTGCAGGACCGTGCCTAGCGCGTTCCAGCCATGTCTTTTCCTAATTGACCGAAGCTCATCATTTGAGGTGTAGAGCTACTGCAGGACAATGTGCTCCCAAGTCTGATTCCGATTCTCATTCTGGTTCTGCAAGGTGCCGGCAACTATCTTAGGGGCTTTCTCTCTGTCTCGGTCTTTCCTTGTTATCATCCTCGCACCGACTGATTGTCCTGGCTTGTTGCGCAGATGGCGCCTCTCTGCAGGTTTTTCTCGCAGGGCTTTTGTCGCAATGGAGGTAGGTTTACCTTTGAACAGTCTCTATGCCACTCGGAAACTACCCGACGTTCCAACTGATGATGCCATAATAGCCAACTGCCGCTTTGAACATCCCGGAACCCCCACGAACGCCAATTCCTTCGCGAAGCCACAGGATGGCACGAACCCTTACAAGCTCTCCAAAGAGATGCTCAAGATTGATCTCGCAGAGGAGCGCCCGTCATGGATATTGTCATGCTACGGCCCTGGAAAGGATGCCCCCGAACAGATGTTCGGCGGACACCCGCGCGAACAGAGTCTCGAA